GATGGACTGCGTTCTTGACGCGCAGGCGGTAAGCGATATCAGGAGTACCTACGTAAGGGCAAATTGGTGAGTGTTTTCTTCTTTCCTCAAATTTTTTTCTATGCATGCATGTATCTTCCCTCTTTATTCTTCTATATCCTCTTTCTTCCTTTCCTTTTATGTTTACATAAAATGTCATGTTTTCCTTGCTTCTGTTTGCTTTCTGCATCAGTTTTGCATGACTGGGCAGTCGTGTCTTAGTACAATTTATTTTTGAAAACAATTAATATTAAAGAAGTAGATTTCTGATAGATTGAATCAAATCACTACTAGGTCAACTTGCAGGTGTGCCGAAAGATCTCGTCAATCATATTTCTGTTGAGAAATCTTTCAGGGTTTTATACTGTTAATATCGGCATGATCTTCGACAAGGTAATCAATCTAGATGAGTTCAAAAGAAATGCGATGAAATTTATTTTTCCGAGACGATTTTACTCCGAAGGGCTGTCGTCCTTAGCGAAATGTACTTCAGAGTGAGTTGACCTCTAGATATCGTGGCTAAGTTATTGTCATTGTTTCTTGCAGGACGTACGCCTGGAACTAGCTGCGCGAGAGCCGAAGAGGCTGAACGTATGCTGCGTGGCCAGCGACCATTCCGCATTCGTAGACGAGTTCGAGTTAGCTTATTTAGTGGTCATCTCTTTCGTAGCTACTACGCTCTTTCAAAACTAATCTAATATTATCGGCTTCGGTGCGCATGGTTCATAGTTCAAAAATATAAAGAGCCTGCAATGTCGGAGATGTCGACGATGCTCAACCTGAAGGTGGCAGCTATCGGCAACCCCGTGTCAAAGGCTAATTTTGTTTATTTTACATAAGTTACTAAAATTAAGGAAATTTAACGTTTCTAAATCTAGCCGTAAACGATGTTGGAAGTTTAAATATAAAGAAACAAGACTTGTATGGTTGCAGAACATGCAAAGATGTTCGATTCTCTTGTTGGCATTTTGCATTGTGGGACACAGCATTCAGGTGAGATTTACTATTTCTTGAATTTTACAAGCCTAGAGTATATCCTCTTTTAGTTCTACAAAAATTCTGCATTCTCACGAGTAGTTTTTCTAGCTGTCTAGAAGATCAAAATTTTTCAGTGGCATCCCATCG